GCACCCATTTGTCTGCATGGACTCTACCCCTGAGGCCCTCCTGCAGCTCCTGACAGAAGCCAGGACTCACCATTCATCTGGGAGGGCGAGAGGGAGTAGTCTCTGTCTGCGTAGCGCCAGCTGCCCTTCAGGCTGCGGCTCTGCCGGCTGGAGCCCTCCAGCATGGTGACAATCTCGCCGCGGTCGATGTTCCTCAGCGCTGTGTACAGACTCTCGACTGCAAGGGGAAGCCAGTGTCAGCAAAGTGGTCACCAGGGGACCGTGGCCATGCCCCAGACACCCCCCAGAAGGGCAGATCTGCATGAACCAGTGGTGTGACACCAACCAGTGACCCCTGAGCATGCACATGCTGCTCTGTACAGCGGGTCCTGCCACCTCCACGCCTGTCACAGGGCACCGCAGATACTCACTCTTGACACTCTTGCCTTCACGGCTGACCCAGAGGTTGAGTAAGGCTATGCTCTGCTCCAACAGGGAGTTGGGGTTCTCCACACGTATCCTGTTGATGTCATCCACCCCAAACTGCAGCTCACGTGCCAGCTCTGGGGGAGACACCACATCTCAGCATCATACCTTCTGGCACCCACACACACAGAACCACAGGATGTCAGGGATTGGAAGGGACCTCAAAAGATCATCCAGTCCAATCCCCCTGCCAGAGCAGGAACCTAAATGAGATCACACAGGAACAGACAGCTCTTGAGCCAAAAAGGTTCAGTGAGACCCTGTGCAGAGTCACATCCAATTGAACACAGCACAGCATGCAGGAGCAGGAGCTGGGATGGGGCAGAGGTTGATGCTCCTCTGCCCAGGCTGGTTATGGCCAGTGTAGCAGTGTCTCGTGCTAAGGAGGAGCGTAGGGGCCCATGCTGGGTGTGTGGGTGCAATGACAGTGCTGGGCCTCTACAAACAGCTGCAGCACACATGACTTGGAACAAAATCCTAGCCTGGTATCTGTGCACACGCGTGTGAACACATGTACAGCTGCAAGGCCAGCCGGCCAGAGGAGCTGGTGCAGCCTGTGCACACCCACTTCATCGGGGCACAGCTCCCGGGACAGTGGAAAGCATTTGCACTCCACCCTGCATGTTTCCAGCCTTCCTTAGTGTCAGCTTTCCCCGGAGCGTTGAGCTGTCAGGTGTGGACTCACCAGCCCAGCTGAGGCCCAGCTGCTCTGCTATGTCGACCATCTTCTGGTCTGCCTTGTCCGTGGTGCTCAGAGAGCCTGGAGGAGAACAGGGAGTCACAGCTTCAGCTGTGCAGGGTTTTGTGCCGGGGTGGGGAGGGGAAAGGAGTGCTGGCTGTGGGGGTCTTGCAGCTCCATAGGCACAGCACTGCCTGCTGGCAGGACCAAGGAAACCCCCAGGGAAAGGGAACTCTCCACGAGCGTGAGTACAACAGGGTCAGCTCAGCCCTTCCATCCGGCTTGGGCACCCCAAGCACAGGTGGTGAGTGGGCTTGAACGGTCCCAGTGGGCTGCGTACCGAAACTGGTCTCACTTAGGATGCTGTATCGCTCCCGCAGAGACAACGGCGTCAGTGTCCTCCTCCGCTCTTCACTGCCGCTTCCCTGGGAGAGTGGGGACAAACCAAGAGGTCACCAGCTTGAAAAGAGGGCAGCAGCTCTGCCCTGGCACCACTGCTTCTCCCGCAGCCCCAAAGCAGCCTGGCACGGCCATGAGGAGGCCAAGGAAGACAAGCTGACAGCAAGGGGGCCTGGGGGAGGGATGCACTGACCTTAGTGCAGGGTGGTATGCTGATGTTCAGGTGGCAGAGCACATGCTGGAGGTCCTCATATTTCATGGCTTTGCGCAGGAAAGATAAGGAGCCACTGGCTTCCCGCCGAACCTGAGCACCAAGAGCCCGGTTAGATGTCCTGGCACAGGGCAGGCGCAGGGGCCCCAGCTGCAGCCCAGCCCTGCACTCTGCCCTTACCTTGATGGGGATGGCAAGACGGTTCTCCCGGAAGGACTGGAAGAAGAAGGTGCGGGGCTGAGTGGCCTTCTTGACAGGCACCAGGTTCCCTGAGAGCTCAATGTGCAAAGGCATCCCCTCTACCACCTGGCAGGGAGCAGAAAACAGGCTCAGACCCTGTGCAGTGCTGCTTCTCCTGCCACTGGACCGGGCAGGTAACCCAGCTCTCCTCTGTGGGCGAGGGCCAGGCTCCCCCTCCACTGGCATCAGTCTCCCCTCGTTTGGGGAGCCCTCTCCCTGCTGCCCCCCCT